CCCCAAAACCCCAAAACCCCAAAACCCCAAAACCCCAAAACCCCGTAGGAAGAGTTATTAATTTGTATTTTATAATTAATATGGCAGGTAATTTGGAATGATGGAATAATGGATTTGGCAAATTGGAATAATTTGGATTTGGAGCAAAAAAACTGAGTTTTTAAGCAATTTTAAGCGTTCAGGAATGGAATTTGAACCTAAGTTGAAGGGTTGAGGATAGTGGGGAGGGGTTGTTGATTGAGAATATACCTTTCGAGAGCGATTTTAGGATCTCTGTTGATATTTTAAGTAATCTCCTTTATTCTGATGTTTATATTCGTACATTTTATAAAAATTACAAAAATTGTAAAAATTCAACAAATCTCTAATCCAAACTCAATAGATATCACAAAATCAGTCAGGAACATTCAAAACAGGAGACTTCGTACGTAAAAATGATATTCTAAACTCTTCTAATTTCCAAAACTTATAAATTCTGCATTTCTGGATAAAATACTATTATCTCTAGAATCTCTTCATAATTTTCTATTCCTCGAGTACCCTAGTAGTCTCTAATCCCCCAACCTGTTAATCAGGGACGTCTGCATTGATCTTTCTTATCTATATTTATAACTCTAGTAGAGCATCGGGTCTCTTCCTTACACTAAAACATTATTGCACAAGAGGGAAGGCTTAAAAACCTGTTTGATATGTGCCTTATACTATAAGTTTCATTTCTAAGATTGTAAATCCGTATTGGAGGCTATACTCAGAAGGTATTCCAAGAAGGTGTTAATACCGATCAATATATAGAATTTAAGCTAAACAAGCCTCAAGAAACATCGGCTAGTAATAGCAGACCTCTAGTGATTAATAGTTTGGCAGGGGATGACAAGACCTTGAAGATATCCTCAACACTAGGTACTCTTTCTCTAACCCATAGACTCTAGTCTAGGCTATAAACCAAGCATGAGCACGGCTAAACAAACTCTTAAAACTACTGGTCAGCTTGAGCTTTAATTTCCTCTTCAATACTCCAGGAAGTCCAAATTTTACATCCTTCATAGGGAATTATTTGCCAAGACAGATGCCTAATGAGACTGCAGAGGTATTCATAAAGTACTACCCGACTGGTATTGCACACTCTTATTTTTAGAAAGCCAGAATAAATCAAGGAATATGTACATTGATGGCAACTACGAAGCTTGCGTGAATATCCAGACTGATGAAAACCTTATGAGCAGGATAAGCGAGCTTAATGAACAAGAAGAAGAGAAAGGTAAAAAGAGTTTTAATGAGAGTTTAGTCCAATGGCAACCCAGTAGAGATAGTTTTTAGCATACATAGTGGTCTTGGAGGCAAAGGATTCAACCATCTGTAAGAGAATGTGGGTAATTATAGATCTCTAATTAAAGATACCTCGAATGATAATTTTGAATTCAGCCAAGATGGATATCACTTTAACAAGAAAGTTGCTAAAAGCCCACCGAAACGTACTAAAACAATAATCAGATTTAAGCCTGATAAGCAAGCTAGCCGGAGCGAATTCGATGACATTACAGATCCTAATGTTCAGTCTCATCATTTCACTCATCCTGTTGTAAAACATACAGAGGCAAGAAGAATAAACAACAGAAATGAGGGTAAGCCTTGTTGGCTTTTCCAATGATTCAAAACTATAATCACCTGCAACTGCCTATTAATAAAGAGAAAGACTGTCCCAATTCATGAAGTAACCAAGACAACTAAAAAGCAAAAGAGGCCTGAGATTTTAAGGCGGCTTTCTCCCTTACGTAAAGATACTTTAAAATATAAGGAAGAATCTGTTCAATCTGATCAGGTCAAATTTCCTCAAAACAAGGATGCAGAGGAACATCTTGAAATGGAGCTTGATTGAAACATTCATGAGGTAGACATCATCCGAACTAAAAAGACAAGTTTTAAACTAACTGTGCCAATACTTAGAAAGCATACAAGAGAGAATTTCACAGAAGGGCCTTGAGACTGGAAGGAATCCTATAGAAGTTCTGGTAATAGAAGCAATTCTCCAAAATTTTGAAATCCAGATAGCGATTCTGATGATTGGGGGTTCATCGAGCCCACAATGAAAGAGCGAGGTGAAGACTGAACTACCTTTGAAAAGGACCTCTCTGTTAATGTAGCCCCTTCGAGGATTTCAACCTACCAAAGCAAGAAGATGATCCCGGGTACTAAAAACTGGTCTGAAAGACTCGATACAATTCTTCTTGGAGCATATGATCAATTCCCTTCAAATTGGAAGAAAATCTCAAATGAATTAGGCCAAAAGAAAACTCCGGATGAATGCCGCGAAAGATATACCGCTTTAAAACTTTGAAATGTCAAGGGAAGGTTCACTAAAGAAGAAGATGAAAAAATTATTAAAGGTGTTGAAAAATACGGGAAGTCTTGGGCTATTATTGCAAAACAATTTATAAACCGTACCTCAAAGCAAATCAGGGATAGATACATGAAGACAATTCTTAAACGGAATCAGTTTTTCACTTCGAAGCAAGTGGACCATCAATTTACCATTGATGAAAAAGATGAAGAGCAGTCAGAAATTACCTCAAGAAAAGTTGATAGGGAAGGAGTTCAGATCACAGTGGATTCCTTTAAAAAGGAATCAGAGAAAAGGCTTCAGGGGCTACTTTCGGAATCCAACCAGAGTCCTCTCCTTAAGAGTAGGGTCTTACGAAAGCAGACCGATAATTCTATCTTTACCGAAGAAAGTCTAAAGGATTATCTTGGGGATAGTGATAAAGTATGGTATGAGAATCTCAATAAAACCAAAGAAAAACAATGCGAAACAGTCGGTTTCAACCAGGGAACATATAAATGAAGTGACGAGGATTGGAAGGATAAAATGTCAGTTTCCTCAGCTTCTAACAACGCAGAGAAGCTGTTTGCAAAAGCTACTTTGCATTTATCTCCGGAAAAGTTGCCACAAGCTAATCAGCAGAGCATCTTTAAGTCTAAAGAGACTTTCCAGGATAAGTGGCATAAATAATTCATTTGAAGCCATCTTTTTTATGAATATTTCAAGTTATTTTATTGAAAAAGGGGTTTTGGGGTTTTGGGGTTTTGGGGTTTTGGGG